ATATATATATATATATATATGCTATTGATTAAAAAAAGAAAAAACATATGTACATATCGCATTGTACGAGGAATCGCGTTATATGAAAATAGTAATCGTAATATTTTTGTATTATGGCAACTCGCATTATACGGAAATCTACTATTATATTTTCTGCAATTGCTATTTATACACTGTAATTAATATTCATTGAGTATGCGAAAGAAGCTCAAATAATATATTCCTAAAAGATAATACATATAATGTCAAATATGTTTTTTACAAATATTAATATTTTTGTCTCTTTATAAAATTTCTATACATTTTCATAATATTAATTAAATATTTTTCTATATGATGAATTCAATCACACCATGTATAATTATTTTCTTTATGTAACTTTACTCCATAGTTGTGACTACAAACGTAAGTGAAATAATATTTTAAAGACAAAAACATGGATATGTATAGTATGTACATAAACGTATTATCATTATCATATATGTCAAAACTCTATGTTCAATTTCTGTTTGTTGTTATATTAATAACGAGTCAACATGAAAATATTATATCAGATATCAACAATCGCCCTTCCTTCAGTTGTTTTGTAAAGAATATTGAGATATCATTTTATCATTTCAAAGAAATGATAGATACTTGTTACATATTTTTATCATGCCATACTTTATCGTATCACTGTTTACACTTGTACAGTATATTGTTTGCAATATAGTTGCAGATAATATTATCTTGATAACACTGCATAGTATCTTTGTATTATTGCTAAAGTTCTTTCACTTTCTGTACATTGTTTTATTTATTTTCCATAATATTATATAATTAATGTTAAAGGTAAAAATAGACTTGTAAAAATTTAAAATAAGTAGAGATATTCTTACTTTCCATCTGTACCTAATTCAATTTTATTTGTAAATATTGGTAACCATAATTTTTCAGTAAAAATGAATATTCAGTAAAACTATAAGCCATGTTTGTGTTACCAAATAATTAATATTGTTTACAATTTTAAACCTGCAAAATGTCATGAAAAAAATAAAATAAAACATGAATACATATATAAAAAAATTTTTCATTACAGACTTTGTCATTATTATTACTTACATTATTTTTGTGAAAATTTGTTAATTATTTTCATCATTACTATCTATTTCAGTGAAATCAATTATTATCTGTTTGTTTTTTGGAGAATATTGGCTTAAAAAAGAAAATTTATATTGTTAGTAAATTTAAAGACGCATAATAGAAAACATTTGTTAAATATTGTCAAAAACTAAAAATTTTAATTTTAGGAAATACAAATTTAAAAAAATAAATTATTTTAACTATCAATAAATTCTTATATGATTTCTTATATTTTTGACATTTATATAAGTTTAATAAAAATAAATATATAATTCAAATAACTAAAATACCTGTATGTAATACCTGCTGCATCAAACATTTTTTTTGCAGCAATAGTTTTTTTCTTTGTTGCATGTTTATCAGAAACATATTTAACTAATTTTATTCCAGATTGTATTATTACTTTAGCACATTCATTACATGGGAAGAGTGCAACATAAATGGTACAATTTTTAACACTGCTACAATTCTTATTTAAAATAGCATTAACTTCAGCATGACATACTGCAAATTTCATATCGTACAACATTATCGTACAACATTAAATTATATAGATATATACAATAGTAAATTACAAAGTGTTATCATGATACCGTATAAAGATTTATTTTTTAATGAATCATTAGAATTTTTGCACCAAGAAAATTCATCGTCACTACAACCTTTAGGCATTCCATTATATCCAATACCTACAATTTGTTTGTCTTCATTCACAATACATGCACCAACCTGAGTACGAGGATCTTTGCTACGTTTTGCACTTAAGAAAGCTATAGCCATAAAATAATCTTCCCAATCTATATAGTTTTCTCTTTTATTATTATCTTTATTTATACTATGGAGATATGAAACTTATGTTATGTTATATTGATTAAATAACTATTTAATTTAAATTATTAAATGTTAAAATATTTCAAATATTCTTACCATTTAGAATTGATTTCCAAATTATTATCATTTAGTGCCATTTTTATAAATTTTTTATTGATACGATATAAATAAAAAAGTTAAAATTAATATAAAAAATTTAGATTTTTATTTAAAAATTTAAATAAAATTTATAACTTTAGCTTCAATAACACATGTGCGAATTTTTCTAACCTTAATAAATTATTACAAAAAATAATTAAATATTTATAAAAGATAAAAATGATTATTAAAAATTATAATGTTTTTATAATTCTGTGATATATTAAATTTATTTTATACATAAATTTTATATATTTAATAAAATTATCCGTAAGTACGCGCCAAAAGTATAAACAAGGAAAACAAATAATAGAGAAAGATAGAGATAAGCTAAAAATTAGACAATTAGTGCCATCTAGTATATCATAGATGAAACATATAGACAAAGAGGAGGAATAATAAAGAAGCAAATAAGATAAAATAAGAACTTATTATCAGTGCCATCTTTCTTAAAAAAAAAGATTAATCCTTGCTGTGAAAAAAATATTTAAAAAATAACATTAATTCTCAATTCTCATTTTGTCTTATCTTGTCTTTGATGCTCGCAAGATGGCATTGTTAATCAATTCTGATTCTATTTCTATTCTTTTCCTATTATTTACTCTCTTTATCTCGTCTATATATTATATAGATATATATATTTATATATATATATATATATATTTCATTCGCGACATCCTAGAGATGGCACTGATTCCCTAATTTTTACCTAATCTTTACTTTTTCTTTGCTATTTGTTTTTTTTATCTTTATTACGAAAGTTTATCTTCTTAAAAGAGAATTCTGATTAACTTTATTGACATTTTTGCATATTTTTTTGTTGATTTCAATAGAATATATTTAATTAAATTTTTATTTATCATAATTATTCGTATTATTATTCGTATTAATTATTCATTTTATTCGATTCGTATATATTAATCACGTTAAAGTCATTCCTAACCTCATTTCTATTAGAATAATTTTTGCAATCCGTAATTATTATGCAATTTATAATTATTATAAATTATGTTTTTGTCTTGATTTTTTTTTTTAAAATTCGGAATAGATTTTTTTTAATCCATTCCAAGATTTTGAATAATCAAATAATATTGTATGTATTAAATATTTTTTGTTTGCATTGAAATAAAACATTTAGAAAAATATACATCACTTTTTTTTATCTTTTAAAATTACATGAAATATGATATGTATGATTTTATTTATGTAAAATGTACAATATTAAATGAAATTGTATGGATAAATTGTATGTGTATTGGATAAATTTCTGTTAGAAATTTAACAATTTTACATTTCAAATATATATATTTTATATATATCTTATATATATTTAAATATAAACTCCATAAGAAATATTGAAGATAAATTATTATAGTATAGTAATTTAAATTTTGAATAAAAAAAAATAAATAAAATTAACTTATCAAGATTACAATGAAATTAATCTCAAGAATAATATATCGAAAATATCTATTCTGAAATATGATCAATAAATGTAATAATCGGTGCACGGAGGAGCTTAGGACAAACTTCTTAAACATGGCAATAATGGTTCCTGGTACCGATAAATCATTTCTTCAATTTTAAATGCATTTATTGTACAAATTTTTTGTCGTTATTCATAATTATAAAAAAGAAATACATGGATATATCATTTTTTATGGATATATCATATTTTAATTTTTCTCTAGAATCATATTATATTATTTTGCATGGGAATTTGATTCAAAATATTATATTTCTTTGGATAATAAATTATCATGAAAAGCTAAAGAAGCAAAATATAGATAATAGACAAGCGAGTTACACGCAAAATTGGTAAAAATGTCGATATTCCGTGACATATTTCGTGATTCTTTCGGTGGTTAAACTGAATTTGTGAGATAAAAATAATATTTCCCATGAAATTATCATTGTAAAACATGACATAAATTTATCGAAATTTATTGATAATTTCTCTTATTAAATTAAGATTAGAAATTTAATTTATTTAATAACATAAAAAAATACAAATTTTTTTCAATATTGATTTATAAATAGTTTTTTTCATTACAATAAATATTACATATATAATATGTATGTAAAATTTATTCAAAAAGATATTTGCTTCTGTAATTTAATAAAATTTCAATTATCATATTTTAGATCAAAGATTTATTTCTATATATAAATAAAGATTTATCGTCGATAATAAATGATAAACGAGCTAAACCGCTCGAAACCCTAAGCTGAAAGCTTTTTTAAACGCTTGCTACACAAATGAGTATACTTGGGCGCGGCACTGTAGACACGTTTTTCAACCCCCAAGTATACTTAGCACTCTCTGTAAAAAGGGCTAATAATTCGTGGATTAAGGCACCCTTTGCGTAATCAGGATGTTACGATTAATTTTTGTATTAAATGAAATTACACACATATGATTTTTAAATTATAACTTTTCGATATTTTCCATTTTAAAGAGAATAATCTTTTTTGACGATAAATTGTTATATATCGAGTGATACATATTTAAATCTAAATTTCAATGAGAAAAATTTACATATTAAAATATTCTAACTGTATCCTATATCTGGTAATGAAAGTATTGTTTTCATTGCACGCTTATTCTAGTCTCGAACACGCCATAATATTTTACGATACATCTGTGCGAGTAAGAGTACAGCTGCTGAATGAAAAGAGGTTTCTTCCGCCAAGCAACGTGGCTAATAAAATAATTCGTAGGATTGTGGCGTTATTCCTCGGGGATTCCAAAGCGCCCTCGGAATTACCTTCACGCACAGTGCATTATCGTTTAATTGTAACTCCCCACATTCCTGCTGTGAGTATTGCATTTCCCTCATCCATTTGTTTCATAAAAAAAATTAATAAACCATTATATAAAATTTAATTAATTAGATTAATTCTTCGTAAACGTTAGAAAGCAATTAAAAAATTTCTAACGACTTTATTTACATTATACATTTACGAAAATGAAATTTTCGAAAAAAAGAAATTGAAGTTCTCATCATATTGCAATATTCGTGCATCGTGAACAATGAAAGAATCGAATTTTTCACTGTTATGAAGCGCAACGATAAACGCCGTGGACGATGCCGAAAATTGGTCCAGGGAGGAGGACACGAAGGATGATATTCCTGGCCGGCAGAGAACGGCGAGTATTGATTAAGGGGTTCGCCGGGAGGTATCCTCATAGTTGAGGGGATTTGCTCTGTGAATGTGGGGCTGAATGTGGGGAGGGGATTGTCGTGGGGGGTTGAAGAACGCCGACACAGGCCGAGGGTGGTGTTTGCCCCATGTACTTGCTCTGGGGATTGCACGCAGTGGATGCGTGTGCCGCGCATGCGTACCTCGCCTTTGCTCTTGCACGCATGCACATTTTTGCGTGTATTTACAGTGTACGGTTGTCGAGCCGGTATACGCATTGGCGATTTGCACGTGGCGTTCCCGGTGATTGACGAACAAAAGAGAAGAGAATCGGGTTGTGAAAACTACGAAAGTAAAGAAAAAAAGAAAGAAAGAATACGATTCGAAGAAAGATAACCTCCCTCGCAATGTATGTAATCTTTCAAGATAATATATCTTCGTAATGTGAACTCACGTGAGAAAGATTTTCCGTCTCTGTTCAATTTATAGTTCGTAACGAGAGTGATCTTCGTCAAAGTCGCGTCTCGTGTGGCGTTTAGTGTATTATACGCCAGTACACGAAGTATATACAATAGTGGTCGTCAGTTCGGAGTGGTCGACTGGAGAAACAGCAACGGGAGGCTCGTCCGTCTCGATAACACCTCCTTCTCGCTCTCTTTTTTTTTTTCACATCCGTCCGTCTTGCTTTCTCGCGGTGTGGCTTCCCTCCCTCTCTTTCTCTCAGCCAGCAGCAACAGAACCGGCACTGGCACCGAAGGGCTGCAGTTGCGATCGGATGATCGACGAGTACGCGTCTGTTGTGCGCATCGTTGTGTGTTCGTCCGGAATGTCAGGTGTCTTTTCGATTCTCATTATCACCTATCCTCGATGAATCGAAGCAATAACGAAGTTGAAGCTTTGGATCAAAAAACGAGAGTGAGCAATGTTCACGAAGATTCGTGAGGTAAGGCAATTTTTATTTTGTATATGTACACAGTGATTAGCATATGTCGGTCGATTCGGTAGACGCGAACGATGCGTGACGAGATTAGTTTACGTTTATTTCCGAGAAAATAATTAGAGGGGGAAAAATAACTGGTAAAATATTATCATTATATTATTATTGATTATCTTATCTGATTGATTATTTTAATTTTGTTACGTGTAATTGTGGTTGAAAATGAGGTTAACATTTCATCGCGAATCTGAAAATGTTCTCTTTCGACCGTTAGAATCGTTGTCATATACGAGATGTAACACGAATCGCGAGATTCTCGATTCTTTCCGACTCGATCGATATTTGTGTCTGAGTCGTAAATAATTAATCGATTAAATGATATAATAACATATTTCATATCGTGAAAGTGCAACAAGTATAAGTAAGAGTTATTTTATTGATAATCATTCTTTTTATTTGCGTGATAAAATTTTTAGAATTAGATGCAATTGAGATGAATTATGAAGAGTTACCAACTGAACGGGATTAATGAAAAATCGTACGTATATATAATAGATTATCCGTATATTGACACGACAAGTATCATTCTTTATGCTTGTATTAGCTTGTTTATTCTAACTGTTTGACGATGATTGTAATGAACAGAAGTAGTAGTCTCGTCCCCACGTGTTTATCCGTTATTTGAATTGAAGCCTTACACTTTAGCCTTATACTTTATTAACACTTATTGTTGGCAAGTATTTGTCTTTAAATATGAAAATTATGCATTGATTGGTATTAATTAATCATCGGTTTGTCGCTTATTATATGTTTTGATACAATCTGTCAACTTTAAGTATATAATATTATATTATATTATATTTATATTAAATTAAAAAAAAAAGATTAAAAAAAAAGAAAAGATAATTAATTCAAGCTTCAGGGTTTAATTTTTTAAGCATTTTGACTTGATTCTATATAATCTGAATGCTTTGTTTACATTCGAAACTTGTATAAATACAATATCTATTTCTATCCTTTTTCATAAGGAAAAGTCATACTTACCGAATACAATATTTACATTTTTATTCTTAATGTGCTTTCTTCACTATATTTTCAATAACTCCATATAAATTATAAAAATAAAACGAACACTCGAGTTAATTGCTACATTTCTTTATTGAATTTTTTTATCGATAATAATTTCTTCATAAAAAATTTCAAAGGTCGGATAAAAAGATTCCTCGCGACACAAATGCAGGATCAGGTTATAATTCGAAGGTAACATCCATGCCGGTTCCCACAGCGGGGCGATCAGCTTTCCTTCGACCGTGAACACGCCGCGCCGTGGCGCGGCAAGATCGTGAAAAGACGACAGTCGAGAATATGGAGATACAAAGCTTAAACTGCGTTTATTCGTATGTGTCGTGCGACATAAAGTCATTAAAGAATTTCTAAGGCGTCGGACAACGGCCTGCCTTCGTGAACTTCATTACACGCCATAGGCGATTGTACGGTACATGATGTAACAAGAATTCACACATATTTTCCTATATCCTGTAATTAGATGTTTGTACCTAACCTTTATTTATCTCTTATGTCAATTGGATGTAACACATTTAATATTGTGGTCAATGATTGTTATTTCACACTAGATTTTCTCAAAAACGACACATTAAATGACAAGATTTTTTTTCAATTCTATATATTTAATTTTGTTTGTAAAATAATATCTAGATGTCAATCACGAAGCTCTGTAGAGAAATCCGTATAATTGAAATTTATTATGAAATTGGAACATATTATTTTTTAATCTAAGTTTTCGAAAAAAATTTTTTTATTAGTTATTATTAGTATTTAGTTAATTGATTAAATTTCGTTTTTAAGTTTTTTGATGATGCTTTTGGTAATTACTATATGGTTATTTTCTTATAACGGATTTTAATTTGCTTACGAGAATGTAATTGCAGTTGATTACGGTTTCTTATTTTGAACCGTGGAACAGATATTAATTAATAAGTGGTATATATTAAAAATGAAAAATAAAATACTTAATAGCAAAATAATTGCGTAAGCATAATAAAATAAAATAGAAATACATACATACTTGAAATACATAAATATTAATTTTATATATAATTTTATAATATTACATGTATTATTATGAAGTTATATGATATTAATAATTGATTTTTAATATTTAATGATTAAGAGGTCAGTTCTTACATTTAGTGTTAAAATATGCAAAAAAATAGGATTTTATTTCTTTTATTATTACCAGAAAAAATTGAAAAAAAGATAATAATTTATTATGACAATCAGTATATCATCAATATAATTGTATCAAAAAAATAAAATAAAATAAAATAAAATTAGAAAGCTTGACAATAAAAAGGAATTAAAAACAATTCGAAACTATCATTATGATGAAAACAATTCGTTATAGCAAATTTTTTTTACATTTTCTAACCATCTCATTATTTCTTTCTCCGCATCTTTCGAAAGCTATTCAATAGTTGCATTGCATATGCATACAATTGTTGTTTTCGATGATTCACAGAAGTTACATTTTCATCAACGTATATAACTAAACACATGATCTGTTGAAATCGATGTTCTTGGAATTGATGTAATTACTCAATCGAAGGCTTTCGATTAATCGATTGCATAATATTTTCTCTGAAATCGTCGACTTTGCCATATAAGCACGAATCTACATATCTAAATTGGAAACTAGACTGGTGAAAGAAATTTTCTCTTTTTTTTTCTCTCCTTTTCATGATTTTTTTTTCATCAGGTTTGAAATACTTTATTTAAATTAGATAAAATTTTAGGGATGAAACGTGTATTTACAACGAAAGTCTATAGGATTAACAAAGTCACGATTTTGAATCTACACGTTCCAGGAATGCCTACTGCATACAAAGCACTGCAAATAATAATAAACAGGTTTACAGTGAAAATCGATAAAGCATTCGATTGTTGGGAATACACTCAGTCAGTCTGTATTTAACGAAACGATAGATAAGAATTATCTTCGAAACTTAAATGTCTTTTAAATTAGATTTATTATTTTAAAAGAAAAAAGATTCTACTTATCCATATTATTTTCTTGGATTGTCCTCTTTGCTCATCGGATGGTTTAATTAGATTTGAATGTCTTCATCTCTTAATAAAATCTTTTAATATAATATATAGATTTTAAAAAAAAATTGAAAAAAGTTAGAAAAATCAAAATTTATTTATAAATTGAAGAATAGAGTATAAAATAAATAAAGATAGAATATTGTATGACATCTCAAATATACCAATGAACAAATCTCTTTAAAATCAATTTTTAACTTGTGAATCATACGGTTCATATTTAATTGACCTTTTTTTTTCCAATTTATAATTGCATTTAATCTTTATACTTTAACAATATGAAAAAAATATTGTAAAATTATATCAAATATATAATTAATAATATATAATTTATTGTATAATATTAATTATCAATCAAGTTCTGTGAGAAACAAAAGATCTTTAAAACACACGAATTTTCGTAAGACAATCTTTAATTTTACATCTCCCAAGAATATCTCGTGCACTAGCTCTCTGATTAGTAGAACGTTCTGTAGCATATCACACGTAAGTAACTTACCTACACACGTTTGTAATCGTCACGCTCCAAAACTGTTACTCATTATTTCCATCTTATTACCGCTAACGGAGCATTACCGCACTTTAAGTTATATGTATCTCTTTAAATCCTCTCTAACTTCGACCAGTTATGTAT